TCGGAGCAGAGCCGCCCCACACGGAGCCGCGCCGCCGTCGACAGCGGGAGCTTCGAGCCCTCGGCGTAGTCGACCCCAGCCGATGCCACCCAGTTCGGGTGCTTGGCCGCCCATCCCGCACCGCACGAGCTCACCACAATCCGGTACACTGTGGCAATGGCCCACACCACCGCCAGCAGCAGCATCATGAACATCGGCAGCAGGAGCATGAGCACCCACTTGACCAGCCACGGGTCGCCCATGTCGAACGAGCACTCGGGCGATGTGATCTCGATGTTGAGGTTCGCAATCGAGAGAATGTTGAAGAACGACCGCGCAATTGGGTGCCACTTGAGGTTGATGTCGCCGTACAGCGCAGAGATCTGCAGCGAGTTGAAGCCAATCATAAACGCTGCCGCCGTGTACATCCGGTTGTGCGCCTCGCGCGAGTTGAGGTACACCAGCAAACCCACAAAGCAGAGCAGCACAATGACTGCAGTCGTCGCCACAAGCGCCGCCTTGGTCTCGTCGCACGGGTAGCACGTCTCACGCATCCGGTAGAATCCCTTTTGGCACTCGGTGCACGACGTGCCCTTGTAGCCCGCCGCACACGCACCCGAGCCCAGGCACGCAGACGGCTGCGGGCACGCGATGAATGCATCGCCCACGTTGTAGAACCCAGGCCGTGGGAACGGCGGCTCAGCCCCGCCCTTGCACACCGCTCCGACCGGGCACGCCCCGCACGCCCGCACTCCCTCGGGCGTCATCGGCGCGCCAGCGCTGGTGTAAAATCCGGGCAGACACGTGCAGTTGCCCGCACCCTCCGACCGCTCCGGCGACGTCATCGCCGTAGGGCACGCCACACACTCGTCACCCGCTGCGTTCGAGAACGTGTCCGCCTCGCACGCCACGCACGGGCCCGTGATCCGGATCCGCTTCTCGCCCGGCGGACAGACCGCCGCCACCTGCACCAGCCACGGCGAGTCTGCCAGCGGCAGCTCGTTGACCGTCACAGACAGCGTCAGCAACCCACCCACAGGCACCGTGTATGCAAACACGTACCCGGTCATCGGCCCGGACGCCTCCGGCACATAGTCCACAACAATCGTTCCCGTCCCGTCGCCCTTGAGCGTCGCTGCAAACGGCGACGTCGGCGGCGCCGGCGCCAGCTCGATCGCGTTGCCGTACGAGTCCACAGGCGCAACCGCAAACGTCACCCGCTCGTTCTGCGAGAACAGCTCCTCGTCCGACGACACGAGCCCGAGCCCGGCCCCAGACGCCACAGACGTCTTGGGCGACGGCGCGCCAGGCTGCACACTCACCGCGTACGGCGAGTCGCCCACAATCCCGCCGTTGAGCCCGACGTTGATCGAGTACGTCCCCGCCGCACGCACAACAAGCTCAATGTCAAACGCAAACGTCTCGGCGTTCCACACCGCCGCGGGCGCAATCGACCGTGTCTCGATGTTCATCGTCGATGACGCGAGCGCAAGAATGGCCACGTCCTTGGACACAGCCAGCGTGTCGTTTGTCGACGACCGCGGCTGCACCGCAAGCTTCCATCCGGGCCCATCCGCAGAAATCGCCACCGGGTTGTCCGAGAACACCAGCGATAGCGCCTGCGACGTCGACGAGCAGAATGGAATGCCCTCCACCCACTGCCCGTCCGTGCCACACGTCAGCGTCTCGGAGCCAAACAGCACGTTGTCGCCCGTGCATGCAAACGGTCCGCACTGCTCGTTGATCCGGTTGGTGCACGTTGGTACAGTCCCAAACTGGATCGATGTGATCGGCGCACAGTAGTCGATGACCGGCTCACAGCTCGGCACCGTCCCGCTCCACACTGGGCCTTCGTTACATGTGAGCGCGGGCGTGCCCACAAGGGTGTACCCGTCATCGCACGCGTACAGGCACTGCCCAAACAGGTACCGATCGCAAACGCCACGCGTCCCGTTGCCCGGCGCATCCGGTCCCACAGGGCAGTACGAAAAGTCGGTCGCGCACTGCGGCGCAGGCCCGACCACACCCCAGCCACAGGCCCGTTGTCGTTGCACGTCCGCTGCGTCGACCCAGTAATCTCATATCCGGCGTTGCAGCTGAACAGCCCGCAGTCCTCACCGATGGTGTTGTTGCAGCTCGGATTGACGCCGTTGGTCAGCGCACCATGCGCCGGGCAGTAGTTGGCCTGCTCCACACACGTCCCAAACGGCTCGGACCACGCAGGCCCCGACGAGCACGTGATCGACGTCGTCCCGCTCGGCACGTACCCATTGCCGCAGCTGAACGAGCACGTCCCATCAATCGACAGGTCACATGCTCCAAGCACAGAGTTGGGCGGCGCCGCAGGCTGCGGGCAGTAGTTGGCCTCCTTGACGCACGTCGCCTCGGCGCCCGTCCATGCCCCTGCCCCTGCCGTGTCTGCCACGCATGTCCGGCTCGCCGATCCGCCGAGGTTGTAGCCCGGGTTGCAGCTTGCCGGCCCACAGCTCGTCCCTACCGCCCCACTGCACGCTCCGATCGCGCCGTTGGTCGGCGCCGAGAGCGGCGCGCAGTACCCGGCATACGCCACACACTCGGTGAGCGTCGCCGTCCAGCTCGGCCCGGCTGCGCACGTCGTCGTCGCCACCGCGCCCTCGGTGTACCCGTTGTTGCACGACACGCTGCAGTTGCCACCAATCGCCCGCACACACGACCCAATTACCGCGTTGGCAGGCGCCGGCGGCTGCGGGCAGTAGTTGGGCTCGAGGCTGCAGGTGACGGGCGCTCCAGTCCAGCTGCCGGCTGCCGGCCCGTTGTCCACGCAGTTGCGCGTCGCGCTCCCGCCGATGTTGTACCCGGCGTTGCAGCTTGCCGGCCCGCAGCTCGACCCGATCCGCCCGTTGCATCCGCCCGCAGCCTGTCCGTTGCTCGGCGCTGGCAGCGCCGCGCAGTAGCCGTCGGTGATGGTGCACGCGCCCAGGATGTCGGACCAGTTCGGCCCGTCAAGGCACGTGATGGTGGCCGACCCGGCTGCCGAGTACCCGTTGGCGCAGCTCGCCGAGCACGTCCCGCCGATGTGGCGGTCGCACGTGCCGAGCGCACCGTTGGCCGGCGCCGCCGGCAGCGGACAGTAGCTTGGCTCGAGGGTGCACGTCGCCGGCGTCCCGTCCCAGCTCCCGGCCACCGGCCCGTTGTCCACACAGTTGCGCGTCGCCGAACCGGCAAGGTTGTATCCGGCATTGCACGTCGCCGGCCCACAGCTCGACCCGATCCGGCCCGAGCACGCCGAGCTGAACTGGCCGTTGCTCGGTGCCGGCAGCGCCGCGCAGTAGCCGTCGGTGATGGTGCACGCGCCGAGGATGTCGGACCAGTTTGGCCCGGCCTGGCAGGTGATCGTCCCGGATCCGGCTGCCGAGTACCCGTTGGCGCAGCTCGCCGAGCACGTCCCGCCGATGTGGCGGTCACACGTGCCGAGCGCACCGTTGGCCGGTGCCGCCGGCAGCGGACAGTAGTTTGGCTCGAGCGTGCATGTTGCTGTCGAGCCCGACCAGCTCCCGGCCACCGGCCCGTTGTCGACGCAGTTGCGCGTCGCCGTTCCGCCGAGGTTGTATCCAGCATTGCACGTCGCCGGCCCGCAGCTCGTTCCGATCTCCCCACTGCACGCTCCTGAGAACGCGCCGTTGGCCGGTGGCGTGAGTGCCGCGCAGTAGTTGGTTGTCTTGCCGCAGTCACTCAGAATCGCCGACCACGACGGGCCAGCATTGCACGTCGCCGACGTCGCCCCACGGTCGAATACCCATTGTTGCAGCTCGCGCCGCAGCTGCCGCCGATCGACCGCGTGCAGCTGCCCAGCACCGCGTTGGCCGGCGCCGTCACTGCCGAGCAGTAGTTTGGCTCGAGGCTGCACGTCGTCGGCGTCCCGGACCAGCTCCCGGCCACCGGCCCGTTGTCGCTGCAGCTCCGCGCCGCCGTCCCGCCGAGGTTGTATCCAGCGTTGCACGTCGCCGGTCCACACACGCTTCCGATCTTGCCTGTGCACGGGCCAGAGAACGCGCCGTTGGCCGGTGCCGTGAGCACTGCACAATACCCGGCGTCACTGCTGCAGTCGCCAAACACCGCCGACCACGACGGTCCGCCGTTGCACGTTGCCGTTGTCGCGCCGTTTGTCGAGTATCCGTTGTTGCAGCTCGCGCCGCAGCTGCCACCGATCGACCGAGTGCAGCTTCCGACTGCGCCGTTGAGCGGCGTGCCTGGCACCGGGCAGTACGACGGATTGAGCGTGCAGGTCACTGCCGAGCCGGTCCACGTGCCCGACACCGCCGTGTTTGCATTGCAGCTCCGCGTCGCCGTCCCGCCGAGCGTGTACCCGGCGTTGCACGTGTACGGCCCGCACGAGGTGCCGAGCTCTCCGCTGCATCCACCCGCCGCCTGGCCATTGGCTGGCGCCGTGTCAGGTGTGCAGTAGCCGGAGATCTTGACGCACGAGCCAAACGGTGCCGACCATGCCGCGCCCGACCCGCATGTGATCGACGACATGCCCGACGGCTGGTATCCGTTGGCGCACGTGAACGAGCAACTTCCGCCGATCGACCGGGTGCAGCTGCCAAGCACCCGTTGGCCGGCGCCGTCTTGGCCGAGCAGTAGTTGGTGATGAGCGAGCACGAGGCTGTCGAGCCGGTCCACGTCCCGGACGCCGGCCCGTTGTCCTCGCACAGCCGCGACGTCGAGCCCGAGAGCGCGTATCCGTCATTGCACGAGAACGGCCCACACGAGCTCCCAATCGCGCCGGTGCACCCACCGCGCGCCCCGTTGGCTGGAGCAGAGAGGACGGCACAGTACCCAGCAGTCGCGTCACACGACCCAAGAGTCCCGCCCCAGTTGGTGTTTGCGAGGCACGTGTACCGATCCCCGCCGCTGAGCGTGTACCCGTTGTTGCACACGTACACGCACTCGCCGTCCTGCGCCGCTGAGCAGCTCTGGATCGAAAAGTTGGGTGGCGGCGGCGGCGACGGCCCGCAATGCGAGGTATCCACCGAGCAAGTCGGCACCGTTCCGGACCAGGTGCCCGCCGTCGGCGAGTTGGCCTGGCACGTCCGCGACGTTGAGCCGGCCGTCACAATGTATCCGTTGTTGCAGGTGTACGGGCTCGCCGTAGAGGTGATTTTCCGCTCGTAGGCGCCCGGCGCCTGCCCATCTGTCGGATTGGTGAGCAACGGGCAGTAGTTGGCCTTGGCCACGCACGTCCCGAGCGTCCCGGACCAGGTCGGGCCCGAAGCACAGGTGACCGACATCGAGCCCAACGGCTCGTACCCGTTGGAGCACGAGTATGAGCACGTTCCGCCGAGCGCGTACGAGCACGCACCGCCGATCCCGTTGGTCGGCGCTGCCGGTCGCGTCCCGCAGTACGACGAGTCGAGCACACACGTCGGCGCCGTCGACGACCAGCTCCCGCCGGCTTGGCACGTCCGCGACGTCACGCCCGACACATCGTACCCGGCGTTGCAGGTGTACGGGCTCGCCACCGAGTTGATCGTCCGTCCGTGGCCGCTTGGCGCGTTGCCGTTGGTCGGCGCCGTGAGAAGCGGGCAGTAGTTGGGCGTCGCGTCGCACGTCCCAAGCGTGCCGGACCAAGTCCCGGCGTTCGAGCAGGTGACCGACATCGAGCCTGATGGCGTGTAGCCGGCCTGGCACGAGAACGAGCACGCCGAGCCGACCGTCCTCGGACACGAGCCTGCTGCTGCGTTGGCCGGCGTAGCCGGGGAGGCGGACAGTAGTTGGGCGTCAGCGCACACGTCGGTGCCGAGCCCGACCAAGCCCCACCGGACGCACACGTTCGAGACGTCGAGCCCGAAATGGTGTACCCAGCGTTGCAGGTGTACGGGCTGGCGGTGGCGCCGATCGACCGCGCGTAGCTCGACGGCGCCTGCCCGTTGGTTGGGTTCGTCAGCGACGGGCAGTACGTGGTGATGAGCGAGCACGATGCTGCCGTACCGGACCACGCCGCGCCCGACGAGCATGTCCGACTCGACGAGCCCGAGAGCGCGTACCCAGCATTGCACTGGAAGGTGCCGCAAGTCTCACCAATGGCCCGCTGGCTAGCACACGAGCCCGATGGCGAGATGATGCCGTTGGTCGGCGCCGTCAGCTCGACGCAGTAGTTGGTGATGAGCGCGCACGAGGCCGCAGAGCTGGTCCACGACCCGCTCGACGCACACGTCCGGCTCGTCACGCCGTTGAGCGAGTACCCGGCGTTGCACGAGAACGTCCCGCACACCACACCGACCGAGCGCGCGCACGTCGTTGACAGCTTGCCGTTCGTCGGCGCCGAGAGCGCTGGGCAGTAGTTGGTGATCTTGGCGCAGGAAGGCGCAGACGCACCTGACCAGCCTCCACCTGACGAGCACGTCCGCGACGTCACGCCGTTGAGCGAGTACCCGCCGTTGCACTGGAAGGTGCCGCAGGTCTCGCCAATAGCCCGCTGGCTAGCGCACGAGCCCGACGGCGAGATGATGCCGTTGGTCGGCGCCAGATGCTCCGGGCAGTAGTTGTTGTTGATGGTGCAGACCGCGGTCGTGCCCGACCACGCTCCGCTCCCCTGGCACGTCCGGCTCGTCGCGCCGCCGAGCACATACCCGGCATTGCACGAGAACGTCCCACACACCGTCCCGACCGAGCGCGCGCACGTCGTCGACAGCTTGCCGTTGGCCGGCGCTGAGAGCGCTGGGCAGTGGTTGGTGATCTTGGCGCAGGAAGGCGCAGACGCACCTGACCAGCCTCCACCTGACGAGCACGTCCGCGACGTCACGCCGTTGAGCGAGTACCCGCCGTTGCACTGGAAGGTGCCGCAGGTCTCACCAATAGCCCGCTGGCTAGCGCACGAGCCCGACGGCGAGATGATGCCGTTGGTCGGCGCCAGATGCTCCGGACAGTAGTTGTTGTTGATGGTGCAGACCGCGGCCGTGCCCGACCACGCTCCGCTCCCCTGGCACGTCCGGCTCGTTGCGCCGCCAAGCACATAACCGGCATTGCACGAGAACGTCCCGCACACCGTCCCGACCGAGCGCGCGCACGTCGTCGACAGCTTGCCGTTGGCCGGCGCCGAGAGCGCTGGGCAGTGGTTGGTGATCTTGGTGCAGGTAGGCGCCGAGCCCGACCACACCGCGCCCGACGCGCACGTCCGGCTTGTCGAGCCGGACAGCGTGTACCCGCCGTTGCACGAGAACGTGCCGCACGTCTCCCCGATCGAGCGGCGGGTCGAGCACGAGCCGATGGAGACAACACCGTTGGAGGGAACCGCATGCAGCGGACAGTAGTTGGTGATGAGCGCGCACGAGGCCGCAGAGTTGGTCCACGCCCCGCTCGACGCACACGTCCGGCTCGTCACGCCGTTGAGCGAGTACCCGGCGTTGCACGAGAACGTCCCGCATACCACCCCGACTGAGCGCGCGCACGTCGTCGACAGCTTGCCGTTCGTCGGCGCACCGAGCGCCGGGCAGTAGTTGGTGATCTTGGTGCAGACCGGCGCCGACGCGCCCGACCACACCGCACCCGACGAGCATGTCCGGCTCGTCACACCGTTGAGCGAGTACCCGCCGTTGCACGAGAACGTGCCGCACACCTCGCCGATCGAGCGGCGGGTCGAGCACGAGCCGATGGAGACGACACCGTTGGAGGGAACCGCGTGCAGCGGACAGTAGTCGGTGGTCAGCGAGCATGAGGCAGCCGAGCCGGACCATGCCGCGTTGGTCTGACACGTCCGCGAGGTGGAGCCAGAGCGCGTGTACCCGGCGTTGCACGAAAAGGTACCACACACCGTGCTCACCGAGCGAGCGCAGGTGGAGGAGAGCTTGCCGTTGCTCGGCGCCGACTGGGCCGGGCAAAAGTTGGTGATCTTGGAGCATGAGTAGACCGGTGAGTTCCAGCCGTACGTGCTTGGGTTGCAGTAGCGGGTGTGGCTTCCCGTGTAGCCGGCCGGGCAGCTGATGGAGGCTGTCGAGCCGGCGTTGGTGGTGGGCCACGAGCCCGAGGTGGGGCACTGGTACAGATGGGAGGTGACAGTGGCAGAGATGTCCGTGGCAGCGATGGTCACGCGCCAGGTCGAGAGCCGACGGGTGGAGACAACATCTGCCTCGGTCTTGTACTCCGGCTTTTCGTACCGCAGAGGCTGGATAGAGGAGCCGGAGCGGGTAGTAAAGGTGGTGGTGAACGTCTGCTCGACAAAGCCCTTGACAGTGATGGCAACACCAAACGTTGATGACCTCAGGGCGTTACGAATGGCAGCGCTCGATCCGGTCATGCCCCAGGTGTCGGAGGTCGAGCCGGCGGTGAGGATACCGGAAGTGCCTAAAATGGTGGTGACGGACTTTTCGACCGCACCGGCCACTGCAGCGCCGGAGGAGGTCTTGAGGGCGATCTTGACCGAGCGAGCGCTGCAAATCTCCGAGCAAAACCGAGAGTAGGCCAGAGCGACGCGAATACCGTCGACAACGTGTCCACTGGGAATGTTGAGGCCCATAGTGTGGCCGATGTGGTAGTTGGAGGTCTGGTAGTACGATTCCGAGCCGAGGACCGAACTCGTCGACCAGGAGACTAAACCTAAGCCCCAGTTGGTGATGGCCGAGGCTGTACCAGTCGTAGTAGCGGCGGCGGCCGAGTGCGACAAGACGCAGAAAACGAGCAGAAGACTCGCCACGCTTGTCAAAGACAGCATGAGCCGAGCGCTTCGTGAGGTACGCGTCCGCATGACGGCACCGTTCTTGACCTTAATCATCTCGACTGCCTTTTCTTCTCGTGGCAACCGATCGATGATGACAAGGTGCACCTGGTTGGCTTCCCTGTCGGCGACAATAGGCTTGTCCGAGCCGGGCGAGCAAGTGTTGTGACAAAGGAGAGTGAGTGTCCCTTGACGCAGCGCGTGTTCCTTGCGCACACGAGAGAAAGAGACTGTCTGTCTGTCTGTCTGTCTCTGTGTTCAGAGCGAGACAGCGAGTCGTTGGTCGTCCAAAGGCGAGCCCCCTGGTAGCAGCAACGAGACCGAAGGTGAGGCGAGCGGAAACGAAAAGTTTTCAGCCAAAGTGTCCGCACGCGTGCCAAACCGCGACAAGGCGTGCAAGGAGGAGGTGGGGAGGGTGACGAGAAGGATGGGTCAGTACTTTGCAAGGAGAGCAAAGCAGGTGGTGGCGTATATGTGTTTCAAGAGAAGGAAGGTCAGGGGGGAGGGGGGGGGGAAGGAAAGGGGGGCTATGAGCTCAGGGGGGGTGGGGGATGGGGTGGGGGGGCGGGGAGGGACAGAGGCCTTTCCTGCCACTAATTCAAGTCAGATAGCTGCAACAAGCAACGGTGGTGCTACACGCGCGTGCGTTTGTGGAAGGGAGTGGTACTCGGTCTGCCAAAGATGTAGTCGCCCTGGTGTTGGGAAGAAGAGGGGGGGGGGAGGGAGAGGCATTGCCATGGTAATAGATATTGTTGGGGAGTGTGTCGAGAAGGATGAAGTGCATGTGACCAGCTGTGTGTGTGTGTGGTGGGGGGGGGGGGGGCTCCATGGAGGACCTCCATGCGGCGCCATGCGGCTAGCCGGACACGCAAACCTCTGGTTGACGCCAGCCAACAGCTGACATGCTGCGCCAAAAAAAAAATAACAATACACAGAAAAGAAATCAGCAACGAAAGGGAGGGAGAGGGTGG